CTGATCGCATGTGAAGCCACACATTGATTGCATAAAATTCAGAGACGAGTTCTTGACGTTCCCTGAAAAATTTGATGCATTCGCGGACTTTGTCGAGGTCATTATTTGAATAATCAATATATAGTTGAAATTCATTTTTCAAAATTGTCTGCTGTCTTGATAGTTTGCTTTTTTTGATAACACTACGCACTTTATAAAGGAGGCTGCGCAATTCCGGTAGAGAATTCGGACCATTAATATTTGTCATAGTGTTTTTTAACACGTTAGCCCTACATAGATGCAAAAAGCATTCCAATGATTCAATGAAATCGTCATTGTCATTGGAGCGGATGAACATATGAGCAGCCCTTTCAAATTCTCCCCGTGAACGTAAATATTTGGCAGCAATGTGAAACTCGTTGTTCTCCTCGCAAAACTTTATAAATTCGTTTGGTGCATGATCTTTCAAGAATTCGGCTTGTTCTTCTTTTGAAAAGAGGGAAAGGGCTTTCTTGCTCATCTCTTCTTTATTCTCCCGAATATAATGAATATTGATAAGTCGAGCAAGGCAGTAGAAGGTGGTTTTTTCAATTCCTTGTCTGTGTCTTGTATTGCAACAATTTACAATGATATCAGATTATGCTACATAATGAACACTTTGCAAAAAGTATTAACATGCACAGCACGAATGAAATGATGATTTCACCTTTTCATCAGATCAATTACCGTTTCATAGTCGCCACCATCTTTATAAGAAACAACAGCCTTAGTATATTTATTCGCCTTTTCATAATACTCTCCCGCCTTGCTCCAGATCTTGCCCTTATGGTAACAATCTGCAGCGGACTCAAACATATTCCATTTGACGAGACATTCACCTGCTCCTTCATACATGTTGGCACTCTGAAATTTGATTTTTATGTGAGCATAAAGATTCAACATACAGTATATACACCATTGAAGATCTTACCATAAAGCATGAGGCTGCCTGAGTTGGTCGACTGCATTTCATGAATTGTCTAGCGGCTCTAATAAAATTAGATTTTACTAACTCTTCGTCAGAGTCAT